TTGTTCGATATTAATTTAAGAATGATATCCATACCTTTCTAATTGGTGCTAACGATACACTTCACTCCCTTAAAAACACATGAATTGCCAGGCATTTACACTCCATATTTGTTTTGCTGTTTGAGCTCCCGATAATTTTTTTTTATCTGATGTTTTACATAATTGCTACAAATTTTCATATGTAAATCGACATTTTGTGTGTGCAGATGTCTGAATTAGATGACAACCAGTTGATTAGTTACAAGGAGTTACGACTGGCTCATACACAGTTATCATGTATTGGGAGTGGTTACATTTGGCAAAATGGTCCCACTGGTACACCGGATGTAAGTATGTGTCGGTTTCATGATTTCATAAGATTTAGTGAATACCTGGCGATGAAATTAAGCCACCATGAAATTCATTTTGAAGCTACCTTGAATCATTAAATCCACCATGGTTGTAATCTTTTTTTGACCAATCATACGTCAGTCTCAGAAACGGGAATTTTTCGGCTACGCCAATCTGTCCACAGCTCAACGTCGAAATTTAAGCCTTCAAATCTATGTGTGTCCAGAATTATCCGTGATTGAATGTTAAAATGACGACTCAATTTAATCAATTAAGAGTATCAATGTAAGATACTCTGTGACATATAGAAAAGACATAATATAGAAATAGTGAGTAAAGTTTAAAGTATTTTTAAAGGAATTACGCGATTTTCGTACATTTCTAGTCCTTCTAAAGACTATATTCAAGACTAAAATCAACCCCCCAAAATGGCACATCTGTCCCTTTAAGACACTAATGAAAGATTCAGATGAATTTCAAAATATTTTAATATTCATTTACATTATATTGTATATCAGTTGGAACATGGGGACATCAAACTCAAAATTCTGTTCTTCTTATAGATGATACCAAGATGTTTAGCTGTACCATGGTATAATGTATCCAAGAAAATATGTTTAAACCCTATCCTTCATTATCCTTCACTGATATTAAACAACTATACCATTATTAACCCAGATAAGTAAGATATATTTCTTTACTTCAGTTGACACGATGCCCCCTCTTCTATTATAGGCCATTTTCTGTGCAACAGATACGTCTGCAAGGATTTAAGGAATTCAATGTCAATCCGACCAGAATTCATCCCATCCCTCAATCATTTTTCTTACGACTGACCTGATTATCATCTTGAAGCTTTACTGTTTAACTTAAAAATGATATAAGTAGTGTGTGTACATTACCATATGCTGTTTTTACCATATGCCGACTTATCAATTTTTTTTTTTACCAAATTGAGCATGCTGTCACATACACTACTATACCCCATTTTACCATATGCCAACATGCCAAAAAATTTTTTTTGCCAAATTGAGCATGCTTTCACATACTGTCTCATATACCACATTTTTCCCAAATTCACCATACTGTCACACAAACACACTCTACATTCCATCAATCCTCGCCCAAAAAGACCTATACACCCTACATTTCATCATTAAATTAACTCATTTAAAAATAGGATGAGTTTAATTTTTTAAAACACGAACAAGCATAACACATATGAATTTGTTTAATCTGTTAAAATTAACTCCATAAAATAAAATAATCGCAAACTAAACACGCGAATTCAAAAAAGACACATCCTTCTTAAAGGATTTATGCTAAGACGTAAAATTTCCCCTTAATTACAATGATTTTTACCCATAATCATTGACAAGGGCTTAAAAATGTCTCACAGAACAATATTTTTGACAAAAACCTTAGATTTCTGACTCTGGTCGCTTTCCAGCCGAGAGTTAATTAGGCTAGCAGTCAGCTGATCTATGATGTCATAGACGACACTCGATAGACTGGCAGCCTGTCGTCTATAGTTGAAGCCTTGCATACATCGGTCTTTCACTTTCGTTACTGCCATGGAATCCAACAATTTCGAACTAAATATCCAGACATATTAGTTTGAGCCGCTTGTGGAAGACAAACGATGAGTACTAAATTATTCTGATAGCTCTGGAAGCTCTGATTCCTATATAACCCAACAGACCACAATTTCTTCGTTAAATTAACTCATTTAAAAATAGAATTCGAAGATTATTCAGGTGACGGTATCTTATCATCAATATTTTCTCTAGGTAAACAAATAATTACAAAAATACCTAGCTTTGTTTCAAACAACAGGACCCTTAAATCAAAACTGTTTAAAAAATTCACAGAACTAAAGTCTCAAAAATGGTTAAAGATTTTACCCACTGTGGAATTGGAATATAATAATAAAATTCATTCTTCCATTGGTGTTTCTCCAATGGAAGCTAGTCAAAATCCAGATATTATAGAGTTTTCTTCTGCCCTTAATAATTTTGAAAATGAAATAAATAATTTCATATGGCCATGAGGGCCATAGCTGTTTTATTATTTTATTTATGAAAAAAATATTCTTTTCAATTTGAATTCACTTTTTTTTACTTTCACTTTCATTTTGATTTTAAATTCATTTTACTTTCATTTCGTTTTTTATTTTACTTTTATTTTTATTTTACTTTCATTTCGTTTTTTTATTTTACTTTCATTTTGTTTTTAAATTCGTTTTACTTTCATTTCGTTTTTATTTAACTTTTATTTTACTTTCATTTCGTTTTATATTTTACTTTCATTTTGTTTTTAAATTCATTTTACTTTCATTTCATTTTTACTTTTTATTTCACTTTCGTTTTGTTTTTAAAATCATTTTACTTTTTATTTCACTTTCGTTTTGTTTTTAAAATAATTTTAATTTTACTTTCATTTCACTTTTTATTTTACTTTCACTTTCGTTTTGTTTTTAAAATCATTTTACTTTTTCTTTCATTTTCGTTTTAAAAAAAAAATTCTTCTTCATTTACTGCGCCATAGTGTCCAGATTATCCAGTCACACTTTCTATCATCCAAGCAATGACGTCATTGCTTACAAGTGTGAGCAGGAGTTATTTCCCTTGAATGTGCTCTTGCGAGTAACCTCCCCTTTAACGGAGCAAATATGTCTAAACGAAAATGGACAGATTTTAAGGCCGAAATTGCCAAACGTAGAAACCAAAGGGCAAGGGTACTAGTGATGGCGAAACCTTGGAATATTTAACTGTTCAAAGACTCTCAGAACATGTTGAGGGTAAATGTAAAAAATATCGCAGTCTTGGTCCCCTCACAATGGTGGAATTTAACGGGGAGATGTCATTAGATAGCATTAAGGCTGCTTGTCAAAAACATTTTGATATTCCATCTTCTTACAAATGTGATATCATGGCAGGAGATCGAGGGCCATCTTTCTCAAATATTGATCAGATCAGATCAAATCATTTAAATTACTTCACATCAGATTCGTTGAATCTTCTCAGACTGACATGAACACAACAAATGAACATAATAGGAATATGCCTTCTTGTAGTGGTATTTCTACTAATAAACATGTCGCCACAAATATTTTGTCAGTTACACCATCAGCATCTGTTGCAAAACCTCAAGCTTTCCCTGCCACACAAAGACTAAGAATCCACAAAAAGTCTTTGAGGAACACACCACGGAATACATTGGATCAAAATTTTAGGATCCACACAAAACCAGTGTGGCATAGAACACACTTCTTGGGATACTATAGGCCTACCCACAGCTCAACATGTTCCGAGAGTCTTTGTATGTACCTTTAAATATTC